AAAATGTGCAAGGAGCTTGATTCTTCAATAATGAGATCAATTACTAGATACAAATATAATTGAGAATTATTAATACTTTATTTCATTCACTGATTTGAAATGCACTCATCACAAGCTCTGTGTACTTAATAAAACAAGCTTTATAATGAATTAAGAAGTTTTTATAACAAAAAAATAAATCCCAACAATAAAGTTTACTCAGAAGGAATTTTCTCCAACTCATAAATGTTTCTTTACTGTATTTTTTTTTTTAATTTTTGGCTCCTCTTGAAATAATGCTGTTAGTTGTTCACTGTATTGTGTGAGGACAGCTGACTGACAGTGAAATTTACAGCAAGATTAGGAATTGGGTTAGAGCAATTGATTGAGTTTTGCTGAACTTGATGTTGTAAAAGGCATAGGATACCACCAGCCAGCCTTAACTCTTCTTTAACCCAAGTTTTTTGTCAGTGAATTTCCTAGTTTTTTTAAAAGAAAGAGAAATGTTTTTGAAGGAGTTAGTGGTCATTTAGGCAGTGATAGTTAGCATAAAGGTTTCCATTTGAGGTGCTACTGTGGCTAGCTAAAAGTAAAGATTGCTATGTGATTTCTGATTAGTCCAACTCCCCCACCCTTCTTGCTGACTTTGTTATAGTAAAATGGGTGAAATGTTGAAAGTGTGTGATTGATAACAGGGCAGGGAGAGAAATCGCAGGCATGATCTATGTTCCAAAAGATGGTTACAGTAACTTTTAAGCACAAGAGAGAGATGACTGCTATTTCTCTCCTTCTCCACCCCCACTCCCCTGGCCAGCATTTCCAGCTAACCCTTCTCTTCCTGTCCCGTTACGTAATTAGCATGTAAAAAGTAGCTCCATGCTGTCTGGTGCCCTCTGCTGCGAATGCAAATCACAGGCAGCAACTTACTAGAGGGTAGCATGCTTACTTGGTTATTACTCCTGAGGACATTCAGCACCAAAAAAATAAAAAAATCTGCTCACAATATTTTAAAATTCTGAAAATTTTATTTGTCAAATAAATGTGGAGGCTCCAGCATGGCACTGGGGAGCACAGGCCACTGGCTGCGCAGAGGTGGGAGATCACTGTGCAGCGCCCCCGCCGGACACTGACTCAGCAGTGAGGCTGCACCCAATCCTGACACAGCGCAAGGATCAGGCCTGCCCCAGAAACACACTAGGGCCTTGACCATCTGTGCCAGTTGCACCAGGTGAGGGCAGGCAGGCTCAGCAAGGCAGGATTCAAGTGTGGAGGGGCTTAGTGTGGGGAGATCCAGGTGTGGGTTGAGAGGGCTTTGGGTGGGGCAATCTGGGTACAGGCAGCATGTGGGATCTGGATGCACAGGGGCTTGTTGGGGGGTTCTGGGTGCAATGATAATTGGACTCTGCAAGGGGGTCCAGGTGAAGGTGGTTGGGGCTCAGTGGGGGGAGGGGAGGGTTGGGTGTGGGGGTATAGAGATCGGCAGGGGATCTGGGTGTGGAGGACTCAGTGGGGGGGTCCAGATGCTGGGGGAGTGGGCTCAGTGGCGTGGAGATCCAGGTGCAGCTGGTTGCGGCTTGGTGGGCAGGGGATCCGGGTGCAGGTGTGTCTTGGGGTGGTCCATGCGCAGGGAGCATGGGGCTCGGCAGGGGGGTTGTGAGTTGTGGGGGTAGGCTTGGCGGGAGGGTCTGGGTCTGAGGGGGTCTGGATGAATGGGGGTTGGGCAGATGGGGGAGCAGTTTCCTGTACAGGGATCCCTCCCCCTGCAGTTGAGGAGTGATGAGTGCAGGAAGAGGTAGGGGGGGACTTTGCAGAGCTTCCTGCAGCCGGGGGAGAAATCTGATGGGTGGGTCTGACCTGGCCCTGGATGCCGTGCAGGGGAAGAGGAAGTCCTGTCTACCCCAGTCCCGCCTCCTGCCCCACAGTGATTTACCTCTCTGGCATCTGCCCTGGGCCACCGAAACATATTGCTGGGAAGGGACGCATGACCACTCTTGTGGCTTCTCTTTGCTTTCCCCCCTCCCCCCCAACAGCAGCCCCCTGGAGCACCCCCCCCCCCCCGCAGCACCCCCCGATTTCCCCCCTAGCAGCGGCCCCTCCAGATGTGCCCCCGCCCAGCAGCGGTCCCTGCACCCCACAGCAGTGACCGTTTAATATTTAGTCAGGGGTATGTATGGTAAAAGTCATGGACAGGTTCACAGGCCGTGAATTTTTGTGTATTGCCCGTGACCTGTCCATGACTTTTACTAAAAATACCCATGACTAAATCATAGCCTTTCCTATAGCTGAAGGAAGCTGGCATGCCTATTAACCTTATCTTCTTGATAAACTGTAGTTTAAGTTAAAATGTGTTGTAATAAATTAATAAAACAGGCAAAAAAACTTAGATCCAAGCTTTATTCATTAATAAGTTACATTTTGCCATCTTCAAGTATCTTCCTGGCTCACAGGCAGTTGATAAAGAGGAGATGCTTAGATGCTACAGTGATGGGCACAATACACAACCCTAACCTGGCTTGGTCTGTTCTTTTAATTCAGATTCTCTTTGGTGATTTCAACAGATTATAAACAATCATGTTTTACAGTGTACTGTGATACAGGTCACCTCCAGGCTTTCCGGGTATGCTTCAGCATATTTTTCTGCTGGATCACAAATAGAGCAATCCAACACCTCTACTCTATAATTCTTGTCACATTATCTGTATTTATTGTGACTGGCTTTTACACAATGTAAGCAACAACAATGGTGTAGCCTTTCCTTTTTCTACACAAGAAGGATCACTATAAAAATGACTATGGAATGCCTTTGTGGCTAGGGAATAAAATCACTCATCCCCAGTGAAATGAAGTTGGTGGGCAATACGTCATGTTGACTACGTCTATGTAAACAATATGAGATGGGATGAAATTTAGAAGGACACAATTAACACGGGGGGATTTTAACAAAGGTATAAAGGGGAGCTAGGCAACTCCTCTTGCCTTTCAATGGGAGTTAAGCTCCCCCTTCATGCCTTTGACAATTACACCTTAGTTTTTATATAGAATATTTTACTTCTCCCCCGCCCCCCGTTTGTAATGGAACAAAAACTAATCTGGCTGTAGTATGTTCAGTACTTTTTTTGAGATACTCCCATGTCAGCATGGATAACAAAGCTAAGAGTACTGTTACTGTTGGATAGCTAGCTGATGTTGCTGAGTTCCAAGGGGAAGTTCACATATGGTTTTTGTATTTAAAAAAAACATGGACACACACACACTCTCACGGTTGGCTCTATTGGTTTTTTAACACAAAAATATACACCTTATAGACACTGAGAGTTTTATTTTATTTATTTTTAATTAGATGTTGTCCCAGATTCTGACTGAAGATTAAGTCAGAGTTATTTCAGTTACTTTATTAATTGTGCTATTGTCCTACAGGTTTGCCCAGGGGTGTAAAATTTCCACAACTGGGTAAGACCCTTCCAAATTGCAGCTATGGGCACAGGAGGACTGCGAGGGTTCTTCATTCTTTAATAATGAAAATATCAGATTGAAAACCTTTTTGTTTCTTAAGAATTCATAAATTCATAATTTTACCTGAAGTCATGATATAAGAAACTAGGGATTTTTAGAATTTCCATTTCAGCCATTTGTCCAATGCCCAGGTTTTATAAATTCAAGTGGAGTGTAAGAAGTGACATAATCTCTTTGGAATAAAGATCATAATCTTCATAAGCAAATTCTTATTGTCAAATAATTTAATGACAAAAGGAAGAGAAGGAGGCAATTTGGGACCCTAATTCAGCAAGGTACTTAAGCCTAACTGTTTAAGTATGAGAGTTGTTTCATTGAAATCAGTGGGACTACTCAGGTGCTTTAAATAAACACACACCTTGCTAAACTGGTGTCTGAGGGTAGGGACCATCTTATTTGTTACTTGTTTGTTCTGTTCCTAGCACATCAGGGGCCCTGATTCTTGTTTGTGGTCTTAGGTACTATCATATTGAAATAGTAATTGTATGCAATTATTATCAGGTATTTTGTAAAGTGTGTGTGCAGAGTTTTCTATGAAATGCTGTTCAGTCTGTAAACAGTAGCAATTCAGAACTGTCTATTTTTAAGTCAGCAATCTGGATGCTATTAACTATTTCTGTAGAATGAAAAACAGCAGTTCACAGCTGTGATATGTTAAAAAAAAAAAGAGGGGGGTTAACTTGGGGATCTTTACCTGTAATGTTGAATATTCACCTATAGATAGTTTAAAACTTATTTATTTTGAACCTGTGTAGGAGAGTTTTAATCTTCTGTAATTTTGTTCTTTGATTCCCTGATTAGCTTTCCATAGATTGCTGAGCTGGATGGGAATTAATTTTCAATTTTATCAAGGTTTAGGTTTCTTTTTTTTTCTATTTGATCTCAATTTTATTTTATTTTTTAAATTCTCAACATATCAGAAACAAAGGAAAAACAGAGCTGTGACATCTTAAGCATTATCTTGTCAATTCATCTTCACCTCAACTTGCTGAGAGCACCAGCTGATAGTGCCAAGTGAACAGTTTTTCTCCTTTCTCAAGCTATCAATCTGGACACCTTTCAGTGCCAACTCACTTGAATTTGTGCTGATCTGGAGCAGTATTGTGATATAACCTGTCTGCATTGGGGTTCACCCATGATGAAATTAGTAGGTTGCTTCTTACATGTACTGTGTAGTAGCCCAGGCGAGATAGAGACGGTGAAATTGCAGGTCAATATAGTTCTTTATCGTGGCCCACAGCATTTTCCTATAACATAGAAGTGTTGCTTTTGACGAGTAAGAATACCTGATACTTGGTGTACTATGTGGGACTCAGCAGTCTGGCTCACTTCTGTATTAAATATAAGGACAGCTGTGATGAGTTCCATTTAGGTATACCCTTGTGACACCTAACAAATTGCCAGTGTGTCCGTCCAAGTAGGCAAAGTTTGGGTGTTCTTGACATAAGAGCTCGGTACTGATTCTGGCCTTGCCTATTACAAATGCCTTTTCTTTCTCTTTTTTGCAGATACTGAGCATCTTTATACTGTGGTTTTTCAAGAAATTTGTGAACGCTTTGGAAAGGCGTATACCTGGGATTTGAAATCATTAGTCATGGGTAAAAAAGCACTGGAGGGAGCACAGATTATTCGAGATGTACTTGAACTTCCGATGACCAAAGAGGAGCTACTGCATGAAAGTAAAATGAAGCAGGAAAAAATATTTCCTAATGCTGCATTGATGCCAGGTGTTTCTCTTCAATATTTAAATAACTGCATATGAAATTATTTAAACACTGTGACTATTGTATAGTTCTAAAACCTCCTTTCACAAAGCACCTTCTCTCACAGACCTGATTTCTTCACTCTTGGCTTGACAGGTTTTGCTAAAAATTGCCTGTTTACTTGGTAGACAGGTACTGAGGATGCTGAGAGCTTTTTCATATACACTTATGGAACAGATGCTCTTAATACATGTTTTAAAGAACAGGAAAACACATGGACAGGATAAATATGCATGAAGTTTATAAGTTTCATGATCTAGTCTTTGCTTTATAATATTTGAGAGCATCTGTGTAATTCAACAAGTTTGTTTTAAGGTGTGTATGTGTATACACTCTACTGCAGGGGTAGACAACCTATGGGACACGTGCCAAAGGCGGCAAGCGAGCTGATTTTCAGTGGCACTCACACTGCCCGGGTCCTGGCCACCAGTCCGGGGGGCTCTGCATTTTGATTTAATTTTGAATGAAGCTTCTTAAACATTTTAAAAACCTTATTTACTTTACATACAACAATAGTTTAGTTACCGGTATATATTATAGACTTATAGAAAGAGACCGTCTAAAAACGTTAAAATGTATTACTGGCACGTGAAACCTTAAATTAAAATGAATAAATGAAGGCTCGGCACACCACTTCTGAAAGGTTGTCGACCCTTGCTAGTGTATTTGTGTAAAATAAACAATATGCATGCCTTTACACACATAGACAGATTTATGTGTCTGTCCATGTATATATGTTGCATATTCTGAGTGCTTGGACTTGTAATCTTAGTTCCATTTGTAAAATTTTCTTTCATTTAAGTTTGTAGTATGTAATGGGAGAGGGGGAAAAACCCTAGGTAACAAGTTCAGGCATGCAAAAGAAGAAAATCCTAAACTAAGTTTGTTACCAACATAAAATTTAAAGTTAATGTTTCTGGAGCAAACAGCAATATTTTATGTCAAAATATAATGAGAGAGGGCAAAATAGCAAATTCCAGGTACGTATAAAGTAGCCTAATTAATGTAACTGTAACGAACATAACTTTTGGAACTTTCTGCATTTTGAATGTTTGGCCTTTCAGCCTTTATGATGCACTACCAGTAGTCTAGAAAAAAAATTTTTTTGAGGGGTGGCTGTATTTATATCTAATTTCCTAATATCTTAAAAGGGTTGGGGGTAAAACAAATATATGTGGGGGTAGGGATGGGGAGGGGAGCAAGTTTAAAAAAACAGAAACAGAAAATCTGGATATAATTTGTATATTCAGCTAACACTCAGCTGGTCCACAGCCCTCACTGTCGCTGCTCACAGACGCATTGCAGACGGGCTGGGGAGCACACCTGGGCAGTATCAGAACTCAAGACATGTGGTCACAACCAGAACTATCGCTGCATATCAACGTCAGGGAGCTGAGAGCAATTTGCCTGGCTTGCCAGACATTCCAGGCTCATCTTCAGGGCAAATGTGTCTCAGTACTGATGGACAACACCACAGTGATGTTCTATATAAACAAACAGGGTGGTGCTCGTTCCTCTCTCCTGTGCCAGGAAGCTCGCCTACTGTGGGACTTCTGCATCATACACTGCATCCAGCAACAGGCCTCCTATCTGCCGGGAGCACAGAACGAACTAGCGGACCACCTCAGTCTCTCGTTCAACACTCACGAGTGATATCTCAGAGCGGTCATTGCCCTTTCGATCTTCCAGAGGTGGGGCTATCCCCACCTTGACCTGTTTGCGACATGGAGCAACAGAAAGTGTCAGCTGTTCTGCTCCTTTCAGAACCACAGCCACGGTTCCATATCGGACGGCTTTCACCTACCATGGACGAGTCATCTGCTATATGCGTTCCCGCCCTTCCCCCTCATACACAAGGTCCTCCTCAAGATCCGGCAGGACAGGGCTTCAGTGATCCTCATAGCACCAGCATGGCCCCGACAGCACTGGTTCACCACACTGCTGAACCTATCAGTGGACAGGCCAGTGGCCCTTCCTATGCTCCCGGACCTCATCGCACAGGATCATGGCCAACTACAACACCCCAACCTGGAGTCCCTCCACCTCATGGCATGGAAACTCCATGGCTGAACCAGCTTGAACTGCAGTGCTCGGACTCTGTTAGGGAAGTTCTGTTGAGAGGCAGGAAGCCCTCCACTCGCACAGCGTACCTGATGAAGTGGAAACGTTTCTCCATTTGGTCCATACAGAAAATACCTCCCCGCAGCAAGCCTCTATTCCCCTCGTGCTAGACTACCTCTTGTACCTGAAGCAACAGGGGTAGGCAATATCATCTATTAAGGTACACCTGGTGGCCATTTTGGCCTTCCACCCAGGTGTGGAGGGCAGGCCAGTCTTTAGCAATCCCATGGTGGGCTGTTTTCTTAAGGGCTTGGATAGGCTTTACCCCCAGGTGAGGCAACCCATTCCTCAGTGGAATCTTAACATGTTCCTTTACGGATTCATGGTTCTCCCTTTCGAGCCCCTTGCGACCTGCCCCTTATCCTACCATTCCTGGAAGGTGGCTTTTCTGGTGGCCATAACCTCGGCCAGAAGGGTCTCCGAGCTCAGAGCACTGACTTCCGAGCCCCTCTACACGGTCTTTTACAAGGACAAGGTGCAGCTACGCCCTCACCCAGGTAGTATCGCAATTTCACATTAACCAGGACATATTTCTACCGATATTCTTTCCTAAACCTCATGCCAGCAACAAAGAGCGGGCACTCCATTCCCTGGATGACAGGCGTGCCCTAGCCTTCTACATTGAACGCACAAAGCTGTTTCGTAAGTCACCACAGCTTTTTATTGCAATCACCGAAAGGATGAAAGGGCTTTCCATCTCATCCCAGCACATCTCGTCGTGGATCATGTCCTGCATCAGAATGTGCTGTGACCTGGCTAAGATCCAAGCCCTGGCGTTGACGGCACACTCCACAAGAGCGCAGGCCTCTTCTGCTATGTTCCTCCAACAGGTCCCCATTCAGGACATATGCAAGGCAGCAACGTGGTCTTCCATCCACACCTTCACATCACACTATGCCATCACTCAACAGGCGAGGGACAATGCGGCCTTCAGCAGGGCAGTACTGCAATCAGCAACTCGGTGAACTCTGACCCCTCCTCCGTCGAAACTGCTTGGGAGTCACCTATTGGAATGGACATGAGCAATCACTCGAAGAAGAAAAGATGGTTACCTACCTTTTGTAACTGTTGTTCTTCGAGATGTGTTGCTAATGTCCATTCCAAATCCCTTCTGCCTCCCCTCTGTCGAAATATTCCATCAAAAAGAACTGAATAGGCGGCGGGTCAGCAGGGACCTATATACACTGCCACAAAGGCACCACTCCAGGGGGCTCCACAGCCGACCCAGCGGGTACTACTAGGGTAAAAACTTCTGACAATCGTGGACGCGGCGCGCACGCACACACACCTGTTAGAATGGACATGAGCAACACATCTCAAAGAACAACAGTTACGAGAGGTAGGTAACCATCTTTTCTCATAGCAAATTTCAAAGTTCGAGAACATAGAATAACATAAAAGTCAATTAAGCAAATAAATAAATAATAATAATATTTTTAAAAAGCTTTCTTACCCCCCTCCCTCCCCAAACAGGCTTCACATTTGTATCTTCTCCTTTATTTTTTGGCTGTTTTTTTTGTTTTTAACTTGGATTCATCAAATTGCTGTTGGCTTTCTTTTCCTTCTTGAAGGGAAGGATAGCTTTGACCTCCTGGGTCTTGTTAATTGGAGATGGATCAAAACTGTGGCTTATCGGCTGTTTTGTACAAGTAATAAGAAGGTCAGTAGTGTTCTGGATTGTGGAATAAGTGAGTTCTTTAAAAGGAGAACTGTTTGCCAAATAAATGTAGAGGAATCTGAAATATCTCTACATCCCTTACATCTCTTAAAAATTGTAAATCTCATGTGCATTTAGACAATTTGGGGTCAGAGCTGAAGGCTGAACTAATTAAATGAAATCATTTGTCTTTCATTCTTGTCAGACTTTTATGTAGGCAGAAAGAAAATGTCTGATTTAGCACGTGGATGAGGATCCGTGTTTCAAAAAATGATAGAAAAGGATCTCTGCTAGTGGACTTGTGAAAATGGTGTGCACAGATTTGAATATCAAGCTAATAGGCAGCTTTTCAATATCTGAGAAACATATGGGAGAATTATCAATTTTGCTTTCCTACTCTCTGGCCTGGTCTACACTACGACTTTAATTCGGATTTAGCTGCGTTAATCCGAATTAACCCTTCACCCGTCCACACTACAGAGCCAGTTAATTCGAATTAAAGGGCACTTAAAATCGATTTCTGTACTCCACCTCGACGAGCGGAGTAGTGCCTAAATCGATTTTGTTAATTCGAATTAGGGTTAGTGTGGCCGCACACCACCGAATTACTGTGGTTAAAGTAATGGGGTAGTGTGGCCGCACACCACCGAATTAATGTGGTTAAAAACCGAATTAATGTGCTTAGTGTGGCCGCGCACAATCGAATTTATACAACCTGTTTCCCAAATTCGAATTATCTAAATTCGGATTAATCCTGTAGTGTAGACATACCCTCTGAGGTGTCTAGGAGCAGCCCCTTTCAGTAGCAGCCCCGCCACAAGGAGGCTCTGAAGGATGGTATTATAAGTGAAGGAGTAAAATATGGAGGAGATTCTCAGTTGCCCCATCAGGGATATGGAGGTCTACCTCAGAAAAAACTATATTCCTTGGAAAGAACACAAAAATCTACAAAAAATAGCATGAAGCTGAAAGGCAAGACACATAGTAGAGTGTAAGACAGTTCTTCTGTGCTATATTTTAAAGGTAATTATAAAAGTAAAGTATATTTAATAAACTACAAATAAACATTTCAGAAGTCACTTAGACACTTAGGAGTCTAATCCATGGGAATTAAGGTCCTAAATCCCATTTGCTGTTGAAAATGTTAATCCATTGGTCTGCTTTCAGATTCTGTCTCAAATTAGTT